GTGTAGGCTTTTATCAGCTTGCGATTAAGCTGACTCCGCTCTTCATTATGTTCAGAGCCAGGTGGAATGAGTTTTCGAGCATCTATCAGTGCGGTAGGTGCTGCTGAGATCCAGTGTTTCTCCCTAACCTTGTGGTTTACCGTACTAACAGATATCACTGCTGTTTCCACAGCTTTTCGGATATCGTTCCATGCTGCCTCCGGGTGGGCATCACATATATGGCTGCCTAACTGTTTTCCTAGTTGTCACTGAAATATACTCTTAGTTTGACTATCATTAAGTATGACCCTAAAAGGTTTCTTTGCAGCGTCTTTCCTAAGTCCAATAAGACGCAGGCAAATACGCGCTCTCAGTAGAGCATGATCTGAATATAAGCATGTGCTCCAGAATGAGCGACAGTCTTCTATCGAGCCCCTCCATCGGTGGCTGATAGCGATGTGATCTAGTTTGGTCCAACGTTGGAACGAATTAGGGGATCGCCATGTCAAAAGATGTTTTTCCCTCATGTTTAAAGTTAGTATTTGCAAGGAACAGGTGGTTATCTGAGCATAGCTGCAACAGACGGTTGCCATTATCTGTTCTTTGAGCCGCAACACCATAAGATCCACCCAGGTGTCTTTCCCTTTCTCTTAGTTTACCTACTTGAGCATTAAAGTCACCGGCCACTATTACTACATCCGAGCGCCTAGCTTTTCGGAGGAAGTCAGAGAGCTTTCTGTAAAACTCATCTTTTACATCATCTGAGCTGCAGTCAGTGGGAGAATAGGCAGAGACGACGAAGAGGCAACGACGAGTGTCCCTATCTTTTCGGATCCTTACTGTTCCGTTCAGTCGGACAGCGCACAAACGACTGTCTACTGGGATCCACTCTAAGAGAGCTAGTTCTGTTCTAGGACTTAGTGCTATACTTCTAACAATATTCTTACTTATAAGTTTAGGCAGCTGTCCACAACTGCCCAACACTGTTTTATCTGTGATTTTTGTTGAATTTATGAATGGTAAGGAGTCAGAGTAGCTCAAACGCAAACTTATAAGGTATTTTTTCATTCTCCAAGAAGAAGGGTCTATGTTATAAAATTTGGAATATATCCAAAGGACAATGAACCCTAATGGGAGGTTTTGTATTTAACTATGACTGGTCTATTGAATGCCGTGAAATACAGTCAATGCATTTTACGGTAAATAAGAAAACACCGGTTTCGCTGGATAATACTCACACATATTTACAAGCAATCTAAAAGATTACATTAATGTATTAACTTAGCGCTTGCGTTCAAATGATGTGCTTTTGCTTTTGCTACCCAACGTTTTCCGAGCACGTGGACATCTGTTCCGCCGACGTTCAACCTCATGAAATAGATAACCTTCCGGCTAAAATAGAATGATCATAATTGGTTCATGAAAATAGATTGGGAAGTTTATGCATTAATATTATTTCAAGTCGCAGTTGACATGATGACGTTTTAAATCAAGACATTATAAAAGGATGTTGCATGATAACTTCGTCAACCACAAGTTTTTACGCATAACGCTGTTTGAACGTGAACATTGATTTTGCTGCACATAGGAAACATCAGCCACGAGACTAAGCGATTCGGCATTAGGTCGTGTGTGCGGAAATAGACTGTCTAAGCACTTTACTCCTGCTTTGATCAGGACAAATGAGTAAAAAACTAGCTTTCATACACATATAGTTTAAACTACAACGCAACTATTTATAATTGATGAATTAATACATCGCACACAAACTCTAACCGACTTTGCTGTATACTGTTTATTATTATTTATTTATTTATTTGAACACATATATATTGGTACAAGAGAGCACCAATATATATGCGCCACACAAAACAATGAGAATTCGAAGAGAAAGAAAAAAAAGATAAGGAGCGTAAAAAAAAAGAACAATGACGAAGAGATTGGTGTAAGGTAGTGTAGTAATAATAATAGTAATAATGAGGGAACGGAAAGGTACAATCAGAAGAAATCTTTCAGGTAAGGAGACACAACCACTTTTTATGAAGAAAGTAAAAGAAGGTTACAGCAGGATCGCCACTGGCTTCTATTCTGAGCCATATCTGATAACGTCTCTAGCCACTGTGTAGCACCATCTCTCGGACCCCAACCAGGGAGTCGTGAAGGACCAACACAAGCCAGTCCTTTGCAGCTTTCTTTCATGCCACGACACCATGTCATGCACTGACCACCTCTCCGCTTCTTCCAACCAGTCCCAGAGTCGGCAAATAATGCACGACGTGGAATTCTCTGGGACGACATTCGGAGAACATGTCCAAGCCACCGAAGTCGGTGTTTCAAGATGGTGACACCAATTGATTATCATCTCTGTGCCCGAACACACGATGCCGAACCTCTGCATTACTGACATGGTGTTGCCACTGAATGTCAGCAATCCTTCGGAGACAGCGATGATCGAACACAGAGAGTCGTCTAACGTCCTCAACTCGGAGAGGCCAGGTTTCACAAGCATAGAGCAAAACTGCTCTCACCGACGCGTTGTAGATCCGACCTTTTACAGCCAGACTAACATCACGAAGGCGCCAAAGGTGGCCCAGATTGGCATAAGCCGCTCTGGCTTTCACTATTCGTGCATTGATCTCATCACTCACACCCCCACCAGCACTTATGCAGCTACCCAGATACACGAACTTCTCGACTACGTCTATCTGCTCACCATCCAGGGTGAGTACAGGATTAGAATCCTGCCAGTCTTGTAGAAGTACTTTGCACTTCGAAGGTGCAAAGCACATACCATACCTACGGACACTGATTGCCAACTGATTAAGTGCGGATTGCATGCCTTGGGCATTATCGCACAGTAAGACAATATCGTCCGCATACTCAAGGTCGAGAAGTCTTTCTCCAGGCAACAGATCCACACCACCATTACTTACATTCATCAGAGCTGTTTCCAGAATGTCATCGATGGCAAAGTTGAAGAGGAATGGTGAGATTGGGCAACCCTGCCTAACCCCACTGCTCGAATGGAACAATGGAGAGAGGTGGTTGTATGCCCTCACTCTGCCTGAGGTGTTTTTATATAGGGCTTTTAGGATGTTAATAAACTTCTCAGGCACACCCTTCTTCAATAGACAATCCCAGAGAACAGTCCTGTCCAACGAATCGAAGGCAGCCCTGATGTCAAGAAACACTACGATTGTTGGCCTTTGAAAGTATGGCGGTGTTCTAACATTTGGCGGAGGGTGAAGATATGATCAATACATCCTCGACCAGAACGAAACCCAGCCTGCTCCTCGCGAGTCAATCTTTCTCGGGTTTTGAACAACCTACGAAGTATGACGGAAGCCAATAGCTTGGACGCAATCGGAAGTAGACTTATCCCCCGATAGTTGTTACAGGAACGACGTGAACCCTTTTTAAAGATAGGGACAACTATCGACTCATTCCATGACGTTGGTACACTCTCTAGTTCCCAAACCTTTGTAAACAACGTCGTCAATTCCTTAGTCAAAAAGTCACCACCATCTTTAAAAAGAGCCGGAGGTAAGTCATCTGGGCCAGGTGATTTGTAACGCTTCAAGAGTTGGAGTTCCTTGCGGACTTCCTCCTCATTTGGTGGATCAGTCGTCACCGGCCATGGAGGGCAGGACAGTCTGACCGATGTTGCCGGAGCAGCAGGCCAGTTGAACTGCCCTTCGAAAAATTCTGCCCATCGTCCAAGACGTCGATGGATGTTAGTGATTGGCATCCCATCATCCTCGCAGATTGTTTCACTCACACCAGACTTCTTGCTGCCAGTGGCTCGGATGAGCTGGAAGAGCTTCCGGTAGTTACCAGATGCAGCTGCTGCTTCCAGCTCATTAGCACGCATCGACCACCAGGCTTCTCGGTCCTTACGCAAGCTTTGCCCAATTTCCTTACGTAACATCCTTCGTTTATGGTCAAACTCACGGTCACCCGGAGTAGACCGACGGGCTTCAATGAGTTGTAAGGAACCAGAAGAAACCCAGTGCTTAAAAGCGGGACGTTTCGCAAACCCACAACTGACTGTTCCCGCCATTTTCATGGCGTCATGCAATTGCAACCAATGCTCATCTATACTTTTCGGTGGAGTGGTAGCTAGCCTAGAGGCTAGCTCGGTTCGATACTTACTTGCAACAGAAGTTGCAACCAGCTTGCTAACATCAATCCGTTGATGGCGTCACTTCGTTGTCCACTGAAAAGTAAGGCAAGATTGGCGCAGACCAAGGCATGGTCAGAGTCCAGATAGGTACTCCAAAAGGAGCGGCAGTCTTGTACACAACCACGCCAGCGGTAGCTGATCGCGATGTGATCAATCTGAGTCCAGGCAGAGGGAGGACGCCAGGTGGCACATCGGCGATGACTGTGCCGAAAGTTAGTGCTAGCCAGAAACAGGTTGTGGTCTGTGCAAAGTTGCAGTAGACGGTCCCCGTTATCTGACCTGCGACCAACGAGTCCCCATCGGCCACCTAAACGACTCTCTTCTGTGCCTAGACGCCCGACCTGAGCATTCAAGTCTCCGGCTAGTACTACAATATCTGTCGAACGCACTTTCTGGAGAAGAACTGATAACTGGTGGTAAAACTCATCCTTGATTGCATCCGGGCTGCAATCTGTCGGGGCATAGGCGGAGATGACGAAAAGACATCGTTTCTCACGCCGATTTCTTCTCACTTTGATGGAACTTTCTAATCTAACAGCACATAACCGACTGTTAATGGGGATCCAATCGACTAGTGCTGCCTCAGCTCTAGCGCTTAGTGCGACACCAACGCCAGCAAGACCAGACGAAGATGCCACAGGGTCCCCGGATAAGCGCACGTAAAACAAGCTTTTCGAAGCGACAGATGGAGATCGAATTTGTAGTACTTCGCCAGAGTCTTGAATACGGGTCTCGGATAGACAACAAACGTCGATATTAAGACTTTCCAAAGACATAGCCAGCCCTATCTGTTGTCCGACCTGCATAAATGTGCGAACGTTGAAGGCAGCCAGTTTGAATGGTGCACGTGGTTTCAGAAAATTGCTTCAGTACTCATATTCGGTGGTAACATACAATTTTCAACCGGACAGTGACTCGAGAACGTTTAGATAGTCAAATTTCCACCAAAAATGAACCACTGTATAAGTATAAAAGAGGGTGAATAATGTGGTAAATAATAATAATCATTTGATTGTTATTCGAAGCGAGAAGAGTAGTTTCCATAGACATAGAGAGTTCATTATTTGCGTGTGGGCTGCGATACTTCCCGGGTGCCCAGACCGAATACTACATTACTGAAAACTAGCTATGCACAGATTCACAAACGAAACTACCAAATGTATCAGGGTATCGTTGTTGAACTACACAATCGGCATTCCATCGCAATAGGGAAGTAGCAGGAAGGTAATAACAACGGTAATCGCGACCTACAAGTCGTAAGAAACTAAGGTCGAAATATTGTCTTCCAGATGTGTCTGCGCGCCGCATCCAACTGCAGTTCAGTAGATCTACAAGACGATTAAATTTTATAATTGTCTCGGAAAATAGACTATTGTGCCACGTGAGCACACTAAAGGTCCGTCGCTTTGAATCAAGTTTTTGACCGGCAGCACGCATTTATATGCATTAGTCTACGCCAATCAATTCCTAACCGTGTATTTGATTTTGTCGTCATTAGGAGACAGATGGGATAAGTTTACAAGTATCTGTCAGTTCAGTAGAATAACTTAGCTATGATTAGGACAGAATTATAAAACCGAAAAAGTATGACTTACACACAACTTTCTTAATGATGACGATATCTCATTGGGCAACTGGAACGGTATGTTCAGATCAACTTTTTTCAGTTTACTACGGATTTCGCTTTTAGCTTTGGCTGCTGACTTCCGCCTTTCCCTGGTTTTCTTTTCACGTTTGATTTCCTTAAGCAACTTAGGTAAACTGGAAAAGTAATCTTATTACCTCGTCCTACTTTTCGAGATCGTTTTTCATTTTTTTGTGAGGGTCCACTTTTTTAGGCTTTTTCCGAGGCAGAAAAATCTCATCAACGTCTTCACTACTTTTTGTAACGTGAGACTCAGCATTTAATGACTGAAGGAACTTTTCCATATCTTTAAGAGGGTTCGGTGACTAGAAATATCAAGTGCGAACATCATTCTTACCGAGTTAACACCTCTTAGACTGCTAACAAAGCGCTCTGTTTTAAGCTCCCGTTTTTGCTTTGCAGACTCTATAGCTTTTATTCGTGAAATGAGGGATAAGTGATCGTGCAAAGTCGGGTTGTATGATTGTCCTGGACAAGGTAGGGAATGATTTCCTAGATTCTTATCGACTGCGTTTTCTAGAGTAGACCCTTTGCCAGAAGGCATTACTGAAGCTTGTACATCTAAATAATAATAAATGCTAACAAAAACCGGACAACCTTCCCAGATATCGATCTCAGTAAGTTTTCTTTTTTCCAGTTTTGGTTGCGAAGTATGCAACCTTCTGTCGCATGCGCTAGGAATATCGTTGAAAGGTTTCGCTGAATTCTTATCTCCCTTTACGATGTAGTCTGAATCACGGTTAGCGGACTTGATAAGTCACTCACTTTTTTTGTTTAGTGTTGACACTTGTGTAAAATCCTGGTCAAATCTGAGGTTTGTTAGTTTATAAGTACTAAAACTTACATTCTTTTGTGGTGTTCTGCGTCTTGAATTTTAGCATCGATATCTTTGTAGCAATACTGCCATCGCCTTTTTTTATTTTTACCAAGACGTCTCATCTGACAGTACTTTAATTAGTCGCGGAGGTGACCCTGACGTTAAAAGAAGCGCCGTATGTGCTTAAGAGAACGAACATGTTTTCAGCTGTAGAGAAACAGATAATGATCTCGGTAAGCCTATTTTCGTAAATCTTTGTTATTAATCTATCCGAATAATTCTTGTACAAAGTGGATGTTATGAGTCGAGTTACTAAAAGTTCTTATGGAAAAAGAAAAGTATTGTTTTCTTGAGTCTTAGTTGCAAAGCTATAAGAGCTTATTAATTTATAGGAAAACCTTAAATGTGTTGAAATGAGGTATTGTGTTGATTCCCTAGATGCATCCTACATCTTGCAATAGGATCGGTCATGTTTAGAAGAAAATCAAACAATATACTAAGTTCAGCTTCATCATATCAGATTGGAGTTTATTTCAGTTTAGGATCCACAGTCTGTCTTCAGGTTCCTGTTTTTTGACAGACGATTAATAAGTGAGGAGTAACATTTGCTTCGTCTTCAGTAAAGTCTGTCTTTACATCTTTAGTCAGAAAATCTAAGGAATCAGTCGTCACCAAAAACATGGTCCTGAAGATTATTCAAACGACACAGAATAAGACAGCATTGTTAGTCAATTATTACTCAAGAAACGACCGAGTGATAAACAGAAAAGGGGTGTAAAGCAGTGAAATATTACTGGGCTCTAGCCAAGATGTCCGGCATTTAGATCACTGAGTATCGAGTACTTCACCGATCCTCGCCAAGTTCAAGGACGGCTAGCGCTCGTCAGTTAATTGCATGCTATGGACTCGCCCACGAAGTAGTGATCATGTACTGTTCTTCTTACCTACTCACACTATCATGTTTCTTTGGTAACGTCGCTTGTGTTGTAAGGTTATCGAAACAGCCACAGTACCTAGATACGACAGAAGGGTAATCCATGTCAGGTACTAATTGCAAGGTGTGACTACGACATTGACTGGTTGGTCACACTTTTCTCGTCTCACTCGAGTAAGCCTACAACCATTCGACACACCATCTACGTTAGTGATATTTGAATGAATGTATTTAGTCTTCCGTAAAATTCGAAAATGATAACATTTACGTGGTTTAGAAATTTATAATGTAATATGGTGAGATCGTCATCGTATCTGCTATATCGGGCACATTTTACCCCAGGAAAACAACTTTGGATACTTACCAGTTAATACATACATATCGCGGATTTCGTTTCCTGCATATCTCATGTAGGCCGCCAGCAACTGACATTGACGCGTCTTTATCTTCGGATTACACTAATTGAAGTATAAATATTCCATCGATCGTTAGTCCCTTACGTCATAACGAAATGCCTTATATTTGAAATACATTGTATACTCATAATATCTTATCCCAGTATTAACTCGGTTAATACTTCATGGTAACTATGTACTCAGATATTCCATTTAGTTAAACGAGCTTCCTACTCAGCTTCAAACTGTAGCAAGTAACTCTAGTAAGAGAGAAATTTCGCCGACTACTAAGCCAACTAAAAGGTCAAGATCTGTAACCCCTGTATCTAACGACAATGTCAAACCTGCTGAACCCTGTGCGTCTTATTCGTAAATATCACTTTCACTACCTGATTCTCCACGTAACAACCCGTTTATCTCTTAGTGCATTATACCAACGCTGAGACTGGTTCACCTAAAATGCACCGTACTCACGTGCATCGAAAAGTCAGTACAGTCTATCAGACAGTATGTTTTACTAAGGCCTAAATCCAAAATTTCAAAAACCAAAGATTCTAGTAGTTTACTTCACACATACAAAATATTGATCGATGTAGTACTGATATCCATCATTTACAGAGAGCTCTTGCAGAACTTAACGGTAGACTTAACCAGTTGGCACCGCTCACACACATGGAGCTTTAATATTGATAAAAATCCTGAACAACTCACTAAGACTGAGTGTATTTTGGAGTTTTTGACTGAAGAAGTGATGAAAAGAGTGATGTATTCCTACAATGCAGTTGCATACAATTTCCCTGACCACACACCCAAATAAGTTAAGGGACTTAGAGCATGAGGTATGCTAGACCTCAACTGCCAAAAGATTCGCATAGATCGACATGCGCTCTCCTGTTCAAGTTTGGTTGTTGTAATGATGCTAATCAATTCATCGATTCGAGAAAAACTATTAGCTCAATAATTGCGACCATAAAAGTCACTCCAGACCTAACGCTCTGTCAACGTCGTGTAGGAAGACGTGAAGTGGTATGATTGCATAGTTTAAAACAGATTGAAACGTTAGATGAACAAAGAATTAGTTCCACATAACCATTCAGTCCTTGATAACGTTGTTAGTCAATATATATTTAGGTTATTACGACACAGTCAGGCTGTTACATCATGAGTTTTCGCGCACATGTAACATGTTATCGAGGATTTTGGGATGTCGTTATTTGTCAGGTATATAAAGTTTTCTTTCCACCTCACAATATTTTTCGCATTTGTTTGCTTGTTACATGATATTTGTTGCAGTTTATTAGCAGTTTGACATGTTTGTTGCTGACAACCTGTGTGAATGTTTAGTAGGCTCAATGAGGTTATTTGTATCATTAATTCAGGCTGGTGAAATTCACCGTTTACGAAGTCGAAAATAGACCATAATCAGAGTTTAATGGAAAGGTGAGCGTTAAGAACTTTTGCATATAATTTAGGTCCTTAACTATGGTGGTGTTGAAAGTGGATATTGGTAGCTGTTTGTAGACTGTAGATTCAAGCTATTAATCCAACCGATTGATATCATAAACTTGGTATAAAGCAAACTACTAACATGGTGAGTCGTTCATAGTTATATGATGGCCATTTGAAGCTGCGGGTGTACGATACGACATAACTTTAGAAGAACTAGAATCAAACAACAAGCATTATTGAGTTAATTCTTGAATTCCTACTGCATTACAGACTGACTCGGTATAAGTCCAAACTAATTCAGGCCAAATACGTGGCGAACATTGAACGAGCAATCCAACCTAAAACACAAATTTATGACACTAATATCTCCATTCTGTCCACGAAACTCAGCTAAAGTAATAAAATATTGTATAAGATAATTTGTGGGATAAGTGACGTTTAATCTGGAAGACAAAATCATCAATAGATGGTCGATTCTTAATAACAGCAAGCACTTACTACATAAGCATATTTTGCTTTCGGCTATGCTGACGAGTGGACACTAACTTTCTTTTCTTATTGTTTATGAGTTGTGGTCATGTTAGTAATCTAATTACCCATGTCGGAGTTATATGCCAAAATGAACTGTGAAACCACTTGCATTTCACTCACGTCCTTACTTGTGGTGGTGTTGAACTTGGATGTTCAAAGCTGTTTGTAAAATGTAGGTTGAATCAAGGAACTGTGCATAGAATTACTATGAGTGCCAAATTAATCAGCCACATGTTCGTCATAAGTCGCACGATGCCTGTTTGTTGTGAGCATGGTAACTGAACCTAATTGTAATTAACACTAATTTATGATGTGTCTGTTGTAAGGATTATCAATGAATTTCTATTAACGGAGTCCGAAATCACTTATTGAATGAGATCCTGAAAACTAAGTTTGATTGTTTATTTCACGGCCGATTTGTTGTTTTTCGGAATTGTGTGAAGCTGTTAAGGTCCTCAAAGCTTTGTGATAAAGTCTACGCCGGTGAACAAGTTATGGAATTTGTGACTATGGAAGATCATGTGGAAAACCAGTTTACAAGTTCACGATAACTGTGTTTTATATTGCCTATTGACATTTTCATTCATCTAATAGATTATTTAAATATAAATATAAGAACTATACTCAGTGTTTTATATTATAAATCATGTAGGTATGTATAATTAGTCTCAATAACACCAGAACAAATATTGATGCAGAATAATGTGAATTCATTATAATTCGTGGATTCATGGAATCGAAAAGTAATATGGTGGGTTACGTAATATTTAACTTTGATTTTTCATATTAAGTTACCGATTTCTTAAACCACAATGTCACTCACACCCCCGCTCACTTGATACTCTTCAATTATGGGAACTCTTCAAATTCTATTCAATTATTACGTAACCCAACTCATCAGTTTTTAAATCCACGAATTCTTTATTACCTTTAAAAGTTTCACACCACTTATCTGTCTCTGAACTCTACTTGATTATTACACCACCCCTCCCTAATGTTTTCTTGATTCTTACAACAAATACCCTCTGACCGGTTATTGCATATATACATATGTATATAGATATTATTGATAACCTACGTTATTCCATTCCTTAGCATTCACTTACGTCAACTGTTTCATGCCTCCATGTTAAATTCTGATACATATTTGGTTGTAAGCAGCTGACGAGAAACCACGAAATATAATGAATGCATGCTATTCTGAACCAATATTTCTTCCGGTTTTATTTAAATTCATAAGCAGAACTAATCGCATGAAATTACAGTCTATTTAGGTACCAATACTATTTTGATAATAAACATAATCCGACGACGGTAAATATGTCATGTGGGTGCCTCATCTGTAAGACCTTACGTAGAATAAGTGTCACTTATGCCTTCTTAATTCTTACAGACACTTACTCGTGAACATTATTGGTACTCATCCTTATGAAAGTGGGAATAAGAGGAAGATATGTATTATGCAAAAGTTTATTGAATCATCATTAATAATGAAGCATAAAAACAAGTTTACAAGTTATTGATAATTCCTAAATAATAATTGTTGACTTTTTTCTCAACTTCTGTCGCGAAACGTTCACCATATTTCTCAATGATGTGATGTCTATCGATTCTTTGGCGTCGTAGAATCCTTATATACTCATCACTCCATCTCGGTAATGCAACTGTTGTGTTATTTCGGAAGTTCTGCGTAATATGTAACTTCCATCTGCTGCAATGCCTAAGAAGTTGGTGAGCTTTACAGTTTATATTCTATATTCAATAAAGCTTACTTGTAATAGTTCGTCTTTTAACATATGCAAGTAGCATATGGCAGCAACGGTATAGACACGTAAAAAATTCTACAATTGCATTCACAAGTGCTTACATCCACTTCATAGTGCTGTCCTCATTCAACTATAAACGACCAGTCGCCGTTTTCATATTCCACGTAGACAAAATGCATTCTCTTCAGTTCGTATAAAACTTTTGAACGTGCAAAGCGCGTCAGTATGTTTAGCAACGGAAGTATGCGCTGTGGAACATCATATTTACAGGTTCTTCCAACTATTGTTGTACCTTTAACACTTCCAGAAGATGTCATTGTAATCCATTTGAAAACCTTGTATATACACTTGTGCAAACTGTCCGTTTTGCGTACATATCTTTTTATTTGGCGATTAAGCGACTCAACACGATTATTCGTGTTGTTGCCCAGAGTTAGAACATTGCTATAAAATGCAAGTGCCCACATAGTTTTACGTGACATCCAAAACAGAGATAGATACTGGTCTATTCGTCTGTCTCTCTGGTTAATTATTCTGAAATATTGATTAAATCTACTGACCAAATACATTTCAAAAAATACCCCCCAACCGTTTCTGCCGTTACCAGTCGACTTAGGTACGTTCTCAGTATTTTGTCGTGTGTCTTAGGGCAATTTTATGTAAACAACCATTGGTGTACCTTTTTGCGGAAAGCGCGACATACGCGAAAGGATGACAGAATAATGTTTGCATAACCGTGCGTGACACGGACAGCCGCACTTTCTGCTCGTTCGCAGTCCATCCCATGATTTCTTTGAATTTGTCATGAATCCACGTTACATCCGCACGCATCTACTTTCGCGTCCAAGTGAGCATTACATAACGTCCTCGACCAAAATTATCCGTCACTACCAACCGGAATAAGGAATATCTACAAAGTGTAATACAACGAAAAGCATAATCACTTCTTATTATTGGTATTATAAATAGAATTTATTGTACAAGTGCATTTGGCCATAACTACTGAAACATATTCTCGTTACATATCCATTTTCTACACGCTCCCTCACTTCACCTTTTTGTCGCAGCAAATCCATTACTTGCATTCGAGTACAACAACGTGAAATATATTTTTATATACTCACCTGTGGAGAGTTTATCTTTCAAAGTCTTTCCATCAGCAGCGGTGACCACCTTACCAGTTCTCTCCTTGACACTTTCTATAAGTTCATCTTTTGACTGAGACTGCAAAATGACTGCATTCAATTATCTTTCTCTTCCGACGACAATCTTTTTGTCAGTGCATTATAGTGACTCACGTGCAATTGAGTTCATTCTCATTTAATTCAGTTAAGCCCTTCTGCTAACTTATTTGGCGGACAAAGTCATCCGCATTATAACAACTTATTGTACCCTTATTATTTTGTGCTTGTATGAAATACGTATGCTTGAATATTGCTTACGGCCTACGCATTTATTCACTCTGCTAGTCTTACTACTAACTGCTTATTTGATTCGATTACTCATTCATTTCACATGGTATATATATGTCCATGTTATTCATATTCAACACTCACATACTCTCGTATCGCTCTTGTTCTGGCTCTCGCTCGCTTGCTTGCCTTTCGGCACAACTCTTTTATGCTTGTTTAACGCATCTGTACATTTGGATATATGTGTGCGGTCTCGCAATAAACGTAATCAACACTTCGTATTTGCCTTCTGATTAATATACCGTTGGTACTTTATATAGAACAGTTATCAAGACGAACTGTATACGAAGTTTAAGGATTATATAGAATACCGACCACCACAGGATCACAAACCATCCGTGAACTACTACATGGATGATTAAGGAGCATCTTGATGACATATCCTTGCTCCTCCAGTCTTGCACGGAACTTTGATTGCAATTAAGGAATTTGGACCTTGGATGTCAGATAATAGGTAAAATTCTCGCGGTTTTTGACTCACTTTCAAACATTCGAATTACGCTTATGACCATATGTACAGTGAAACGTAACAAACAGGTATTTGAACCTGACATCATTCAGTAACTTGCTTTCCGTGTGGATGTAATGAGTATGGGTAGTCTGAGAAGACATAAAATTATTCATCCATACTCTTTAGAACTCTTTTAACGCCCTAGCAAAGTCATCCTAGCATGCGAAACGCTTGTTCAGTATCATACTTTGAAAAGCATCGCTAAGGTCCACTGAAATGTCTCTTGGGCATGAAGCACTACAAACAGAAATCATTAATTAAAAAAATTTATTCCTTGAAACAATAATAACCCAAGGAAGTACTACAAATATTTCAGATTTACCGGTGACTTGACATTTCCCAAACTCCCAACTTCGGGGAAATTTTGGGGAAATCCCCAAAAGACGTGTTGCACATCTTTTCCAGAATAAGATTTCATCACCATTAGATTATAAAACCTTAAATTAATAAATTACAATTAAAAAAATGCTAATCGTAATAAAAACTTGACTTTTGGTCATGAATAGTCTATCTAGTTTCAGGTTTTGTTTTAATAGATCAAACAGACACGAGACAATAAGTCGTCGGCTTCAAACCACTTTTTCGAATTCTCCACGCCATTCAGGTGGGTTGTTTGTGCTGTCCAGAACTTCGATTACTGTTTTTGTTCAGTCTAACTTCAGTTAACTATCTCTTTCAGAATAATAATTTACAAATGGATAAGATTGCTAAAAGGCGGTCTGAAGCCGCCAGACACTTGGGCTGTTCCAGATCAACCTCGTACAGAAGGTTGCAGAAGTTAAGAGCAGAATTTATAAATAAGTGTCAGTTAACCAGCAACGACGAAGAGAACGACAGTTCAGTTGTCGTCACCGAAGTAGGGACCACCGCAGCTACAGAGCAGTGCGACAACATTGTCTCAGAAACAGCCACTGCTTCATGTAGTTACGTCCAATGTTCCGACACTACAGCCGACGGTAGTCTAGCTTTATTTATTAACAGTTGTTAATGAATTTATAGAAGGTGTGATTTCACAAATGTCTCCAGCCATTTATCTCTCAATGAAAGAAGAGGTAGATAGAATTGTCATTGGCATGATGAAAGGTGGTGACAACCGTGAAGAAGGCAGACGACATTCTGGGACTTTTTAGTAATGTATTCATAGTCGGGATCTATGGTGGTGAAGTAAAACCATCTGATTTCAACGACATATCCGCAGCACTTATAAGTGGGTTACAAGAGTTGCTGACAGTAAGTATTTATATAGGTAAGTGTCAGGTACATTTAACAATTAGATTAGTTGCTGTTATTTATAACACTCCAGCTCACAGTTACGTCAGGGTATGTTGTTGGACACAACGGTACCGCTGACTGTGACGAATGTCAGGTTTTAGGGACACAAATGGGTGGTCGAATGACTTTCTCCAATGGTGAACAGAAATTGAGAAGTGATGTCACTTTTCATAGTAGGTCCCAATCTATCCATCATCGTGGTGGAAGCTCATTTGAAAATCTGCCACTTGATATGATAAAATGTTTCCCGTCTGAACCGATGCACATGATCTACTTAAGTATCACTAAAAAACTTAATTCCTTATGGAAGGATCTAGCTATTTAGTAACTTAACAGGATGTATCAATCAATTTTCACATCCATAGATGTGGCACTAGACTTATGTAGACAGCACATTACATGTGACTTTCAAGGGAAATGTCGTTCACTAAATTAAGTCTCTGTATGGAAAGCAATTGAAATGTCGGTTGTTCCCATTATACTTAGGCCCTGTATTTCTTTACGTTAGGTTACCACCATCAATGTGCAGAAACTTCCAGTGCTTGTCGTTGTCAATATATTTATTATCGCGAACATTGTTCGGGTTTATGTGAACAACTTCTTATTAGGCCACGGAAATTGTTAAGGTAGCCATCACTTAATCTATAATGTGCATAGTTTAAAGCACACTGTAGATGACGTAATAGTACATGGCAGTTTAGAGTCGTTCTCTGCATTCCCTTTTGAGTCATACATGAGGAAAATTAGGCGTTCACTACACTGCGGATTTGCTGCGGCTAAACAAGCTGCACAACGATATGCCGAAGAAGTTTACTTTCAAGGTTTGCTGAATCAGGATATAGCTGACAATGTGACTCAGCCT